CTTGTGTGTTGTGAGAAGCCACTTCTTGGAGAAGATCGCTCGTCTCTCGAGCTCATACATCTCTTCTGAGAGATACCAGGAGCCGGGCAAGGCCCTGACAGCCCTCCTTCCGGCATTCTTGCTCTTGGAGAGGCCCTTGGAGAGCCATCCCAGACCATTGATGCTGGACAAGTATGAAAGGGCTATGGCGAGGAAGGATGCTGACAGTGTCCAAAACAGGACCTGTGGGGAGTAGTAGATGGAGAGTTCGGCCATTGTGAAGACTAGCAGTGTATAGCACGAAATAGCACGCAAGTGCTTATGTGTATGGTATGATGGATGAGATGATGGAAGCTGGATGAATTGTCAATGCTGTTGAGGGGATCTGGTTCCTATGTATAGGCCATCTTCCTCCTCCCAGTATGACCGGCATTGGGCTGCTTGATATACGAGTCCTCCTTCACTTGTCCTACCACCATCGTCCTACCACCATTGCCATCCCTCCACACTATCTGGCCGTCCTAATAACGATCACCAGTACACAAAGATAGGTCAATTACACCGAAGGCGGTCGATAGATCGATCACATGACCGGTGCCAGGGGATTATGGACTCGCACCTAGCCCTTTCGCCTCCCGGCGGAGGCATCCCGAGATACGGTCACGTGATCGGCAGCGACGAGCTCGACCTATCTTCCCGTCACAGTTCGATGTATGGCTACCTGACGATATGTCAAATCGGCGATATTGTGAAACTAGCACATGCTAGATGCTGATCTTATGACGCGAAACCAGATTCACGCAGGTAAAATGGCATAACACATATATTTCCATGTCATTATGACTAAGTACTAACACACAGTCTATTGGAGACGGCGAACCAGCCTCATGAACGTGATTGACACGCTTGGAATCGTTGATTTTTACCTTTTATGGTATATTGTACGTATGTTGCCTGTTTAATGACAGGGAGAAGGATGAAAAACTCCGGACGGGAAACCCACGTGGCAAATCGCAAACTACCATCTCGATGATACAGATCGTTTCCAACTTTCAAGCGCATCGGCCTCATTCTCGACGAGATATGAGCCTTATTCTCAAGACTCACCATTACCTGACAATTACTTTATCAGTTCTTACGCCCTGGCTGATTCCGCCCCGACCATGTAAAACAAGGCATATCTCGAACGCGGACTTGCCTAGCCGGCTAAGGTGTTTCGCACGTCTTGCACAACACGGAGTGGTCAAGCCGTCCATCAGGTATCTTATCAGAGTGAAGGAACGTCTTGTGTTACGCCGTCTTCCTGATCCGCCGGACGGAGAACAAATAATTAGCTCAGCATTGTTTCACGGCAGTAAGCATCCGAGATCGCAATTTATGAGATATGCCATTCGCCAATCCGTGGACCGACCGAATCAACAGAGATGGATTGTTACAATCACTCGGGTGCGTCCTTTTCCGAAACCAGCAACTTTTCTCATGGAAATTGTAGCAGATTATTAGTGGTAGCGACGGTGATTCCACGACGCACACAGCATCCATCCAAGTATTACTCGTTATTCCACAAATTCGGTAAATGACAGTATGGGCAAAATTGATTTTCCTCCGGGGGACTAATTTGCCACATCTACAAACCTAGGAATTGTTATTGACGGATTCCGAGTGCCAACTGTTAGCCGCCATTACCTTTGAAAAACACCAAACCAATTTGCCAACCTCAATGTACCATGAGTCTCAGTGATCCGGGCCGATATTGTACAACAATGCATCGCACATGTGCTCCTGAACGGCCGTTATGACCGGTAATTGAAGATGTGATACCATGCTCGCTGGTCCGTCGGTATCGGAGTCGTATCCCGGGGCGTGAACATACACCCTACCCAAGCCTTGTGCAGCCCAATTCCCGTCTCACACGTCCGGGCAATTTAGAATGCGGTCTAGATATGGCTCAAGAATAAACTCTGATGGTCATGCACCCGGACAGCCAGCCCAACGCGGTACACGTGGTAATACTGTTACCGGGGTTTCCGCGGTCTAGTGTAGTCTAGGCCATGCCCATGTTGAGGCATTCGGACCAGCCCCGGGCGGTGTAAATTCGTTACCAAAGCTACTGTACGCATGTTCATTTTTAGCCGCAGGGGCTTTTATGGTTTGCATAGGCGTCAATCGGTACGGATACTAACCCATTGAAGACGTGGATTATGACAGGCATGGGTTCCGAAACTGGCAATGAGGCAGTGCAGGTGGCTTGACTTGACAACGTCTATTTGACCAATGATGCCGCTTAATAGAAATGACTGGTTCATATACAATTACCTAATCAAGCCCCTGAGTCTTGACGCCGATGGCAGCAACGTGTAGATGGGGGAGGTCCTTTAATTGTCAAGGCAACATGGACTTTGAGTAGTGTGTCTATAGCGTTATTGTTATCAGTTGCAGAATATTTCGGCCATAAGTGCGAATATAATTAACTTCAACAACAAGGGACAGACTAGCGGTTGTATGTCGGTGGTCGATTTGATAAAGAGGATATTCACATGAACCGTTGTCGACTTCAATTTGTCATCAAATTCTAATATATTTAAGGGCTGAATTTGCCGGTCGGTGCTTCTAATATCAAAGTAATGTTGCCGAATAAACATACTTGTTGGATGCTCAATAACAGTTCATGTACGTGCTCATAAGATTTCAATTATACATGTTCTTCTTTTTTTTTCTTTTTTTTTCTTTTTTTTTTGGCGTGAATGGCATATACTCATTAAGATTTGGATACGGAAATAATAAAACATTACAGCCCAACTCGCTCTAAATTATAACTTCGAGGTTCTTACTGGCTCTACAAGATCCCTCATCTCCGACCTGGGCCAGTCCGGGAAAAGCGCCGGATCCGGACGTTGTCTGTCCCAAGCCCATTTCTCCGTCAAGCGAGAAGACAACTTGCCCTCCATCATCTGGACAACATACTTGCCAAGCACAGGGAAGAATTTGTAGCCATGGAATGAACCGCCGGTTGCAAGGTATAGACCCTTTGCAGCCGAATGCGGCGAAATGATGAAGTCGGAACTTGTGGTAAAGGCATCCCTGTTTCATCGTCAGTTAACTAGGTACTCAATGGAGAGAAGAAATCTGCAGCACTTACCAGCAGATGCGGTGTTTTGTTAGTGGCCAATCAGCCGTCTTGTCGCCGTAGAACACTCTGTTCGCATGCGCGATGTCGTCTTTGAGTCTTTTAGAAACCTCCCATTGCCCGTAGTCAGGCTTCGGGGGTGGTGACGAGACAAAATGACCAGGCAACACTTCTCTAGTGTTCTTGAATATTGTCTGTCCCCACCACTTCATCTCACGGTCTCCTGGAGTTGGTGGTAAAGAGCCAATGAAGGGGCCTGCTCACTATATTAGATACTCGCCGCTCAAGATGAAGTGTTTAGACCCAAGCTTACCTTGATCAGGCCGATACCCTTGAAAAGCTACCGGCATTGTACCGTATATCGCGTGCAAGTCATCATCCAACCTGGCCATTCCTGTGGTTATGCCACCTGCGACAAGCCGGAAGCCGGCCGCAATGTTGGGCAAGCCACTGCTCACAGCACTGTACTCGAGGAGTGTCGGCGTGTATGCTCCTGCAGCTACAATAGTATGGGCTGCCCTTAACAATTTACCCTTTGTCGTTCTGATGCCGGAACACTGCCCGTCCTTGGCCAACAGCAATGTCGACACTTCGGCCACTTCATACTTGACGCCCAATTCCAAGCATCTCTTCGTGATTGCGCGTAGAGAATCTCCGGCAGCACCCCACCCGCCGGTAGGGTTGATGAGCACCTCCTTGACGCCGGTGTAGTCCGCATCCTTGAACAGGCCGTTCCACAGAGTGCGTGCTTCCTCTACCGAGACAGCTTTGAGGTTGGCATCTCGTCCGAGTCGTTTGTAGTTATCAATGACCCCTTGCGCGTAAGTGTCACGACACGTCCATATGAGACCTGTCTCGTGAAAGTATGGTTTCCACAAGGGATCGGTCTTGAAGATGTCCTGCGCCTCGAGCGCAAGCTCACAGTAGTCGATGTCATCGTAGTCCGCCCTCACCACTTTGTTCCAGTCCCAGGAGGCAGCGACCCGAGTTTCAGCGTCGTATGCATCCCGATCGACCAGAGTGATTGTTGCATTGGGGTATTTCTGGATGAGTTCGAAGGCCGTAGACACGCCAAACACACCTGCTCCGATGATGAGGTACGACTCCTCGCTGATCTGCGACATCCTGAATATGAACAATACGGAACAATGAACAAACACGAACGGACGACCTGAGTATGAGTACTACTCCCGGCCTCCTTCATCGACCATCATCTTGAGCCTGGAGTTTATATCTCCCTACTCAACGGTGATTTATCCATCATCTGATTGGCTATCGTGATAGGGGCCGGTATCGCCCCAGATTGACCCAGTGATGACCCAGCTATGAGCCGACACGGCTTTGTTCTCCGCATCACCGCCCACGTGATACGCCCTTCCAAGTCCCCAAGCGATTCAGGACGCGCCTTATCCTCTATCAGAATAGATATGGATCAGATCATCAGCGGTTCCGCGCAGCACTCAAAGCGATTGTATGCTGGCTTATCTCCGCAATCTGGCCATTCTAGAACAGGCAGCGTGGTGCGGCCAGGCTTGATAGAAGTTAGGGTCCGGCCACCGGGACAGCAATTCAGAACCAAGGGTTTTTGCTGATGACTTGGCGTCCGGGGCCTTCGACACTGTATCCACCGATCCACTGGGGTACATTGCAGACGAAGTAGACACATTCGAGCACAGACCTTAGCTATCGGCTTCTCCACAGCCAACGGGCTGTGAGGCGCTAAATAAGCTCTCACTGAGACGCTCCCGTGATCAATCAATTAGGTAATTTAGAAGCAAGGAGCCAAAGATGAGGGTGTTGTTGGTGGAGCCGTTTCCTCGCGAGTCTCCAATATAGTCCCTATTTTCAGTCCGACATTCAACAACAGCCGCAATGGCTCTCATGAAACCCCACCGCCCCTATGGCGTAGTGGTAGCGCGTGTCACTTGTATTCTACAGTCATGACAAGGTCTCTCGTTCGATCCGGGATGGGGGCAACAAAGGGGGTTCACCATACATTTTTTCGTTTTTCTTGAATTGTTTTGGCATATTCTCTCCAACCACAACACCCCCAAACCCCCCCCCAGTCCATTACCAACAATCTAGCTCACCAGCGTTAACTAAACTTAACAGTAAGATCTAGGCAGTATTTTCGCATGTAGTATATATATCTATATGTAGTACTATGATTGTTGTTATTATTATTGTTGTTGTTGTTGTTCCATTCAGTGTTATAGGGGGCTTGCTATACCCCACACCTAAACGTCCTTACCGCACAAAGAGGTGTTCGATGCGACAACACATGTACGTAGGTATGATAGATATAAGGATAGATTATGCCTGAAAGGCTCAGTATTCTATAGCCCGTGATTTCTCTTTATGAAATCGCCGCGATGTCTGCCTTAATGCCATGTCACTAACTAGATGAGTTGGATGAGAGAGCCTATAAGCGGCAGCAATTGACAATTCAATGAGGTATCTAGAAGAGCTGCGCCATGATGAGATTCTGTCAAATGCTTACCTGCGAGCTCTGCCTATGCTGGGTGATTAGATTCCGACTTTATACCTGCATCGGTCGGAAAGATCTACGTTTGCAGCAACACAAGGGCAGTCAGAGATGGATGCGCAATTCCGTACTCCCTGCGCTGTTGATTAGAATGTGCGTTTATTAACTCAATGAATGTAAGTAAGAGGTTTTTATCCTTCTTGAATGGTTTGTACGATCAAGTTGTGGTTCTTAGATGATCTTAATGTGTCGCTTGGACAGATGGTTTAGAAGGGCCCCTTGATTTTCCACCAGTCACAGCGCAAGCCTAGCTAGCCCCTCGGATTGATTATGGAAAGAGACCCGCCGAGGCGCCATGCAAAATAGATGAGACGGTCTTTCAAACCTTGGAGATATTCTGCTTAATCATATACGCTATATACTACATTGAAACAAGTTCTATATAATCAGATAACAATCAAATAATAAACACTTCGCATTATTCTATTGATTTATACATACCTAGGCACCTAGATGGATAAGGCATTGTAGAATGCCCCCTTCCCCTTACTAGGTACTACAGACCCATAGAATCATCTCATCTATTTTATATAGCGCCTCACCCCGCTATGGTCAATTATACCCCTCCAACCCCACGGAAAGCGACGATAGCGGGAGAACCTTAATGGTGGAATCGTGTAATGGCATGTCGCGCCGACTGCCGCATCAATTCAACGAACGGTGCTTGAACAAAGCTAAGATTGGGAATACATCTTTTTCTCCTACTGCTTTTCCTGTATTACAACTGTCCCAACCTCCCGCTACGCACCCATCCAAGAATTACCTGTCTCAAGTCTTGGAAATAGACGAGGTCTGGATTAAACAAGTCTCACAATGGCCGAGATAACCATCACTGGCTGGAGAACAAGGGACGTTCGGTTTCCTACGTCTCTCGATAGAACAGGCTCCGATGCTATGAATGCCGCCGGCGACTACTCCTCCGCATACTGCATTCTCGAAACAGATTCCGAGTATACAGGCCATGGGATGACCTTCACAATCGGCCGCGGCAACGATATAGTATGCGCAGCCATCAACCACCTCGGAGACAGGCTGAAGGGCCGAACCCTCTCCTCTCTGGTAGCTGATTGGGGGAAGACCTGGCGGTACATGGTCAATGATTCGCAATTGCGCTGGATCGGTCCTGAGAAAGGCGTGATTCATCTGGCGCTCGGTGCCGTCATCAACGCTATCTGGGACCTATGGGCCAAGTCCCTCGGGAAACCGGTTTGGCAAATCGTGTCCGAGATGACGCCGGAGGAGTTTGTGCGGTGCATCGACTTCCGATACATCACGGATGCCATAACCCCCGAGGAGGCAATTGCGCTTCTCAAAGAGAGCGAGCAGGGCAAGGCCGAGCGCTTCCAGGACGCTTTGCAGAGCCGTGCCGTGCCCGCGTACACGACGAGTGCCGGCTGGCTCGGCTACGGCGAAGACAAGATGAAGAGCCTTCTCAGCGAGACTCTGAGCCAAGGCTACAAGCACTTCAAGATAAAGGTTGGCGGGAGCGTCGAGGAAGACAAGCGACGGCTGGGCATTGCGCGTGACGTGATCGGCTTCGACCGCGGCAACGTCCTAATGGTCGATGCGAACCAGGTCTGGAGTGTACCAGAAGCGATTGAGTACATGAAGCAGCTGGCGGAGTTCAAGCCTTGGTTTATCGAAGAACCTACATCACCTGATGACATCCTCGGGCACAAGGCGATCCGGGACGCGTTGCGACCCCTCGGCATTGGCGTTGCCACGGGCGAAATGTGCCAGAATCGCGTCGTTTTCAAACAATTGATAACGGCCGGGGCTATTGATGTGTGCCAAATTGACGCCTGTCGACTGGGTGGTGTGAACGAGGTTCTCGCGGTGCTTTTGATGGCCCGCAAATTCGGGATTCCCATTGTGCCTCATTCTGGGGGAGTTGGTCTGCCCGAGTACACGCAGCACCTGAGTACCATCGACTACATCGTCGTCAGCGGGAAGCACTCCCTACTGGAGTACGTAGATCATCTGCACGAACACTTCCTTCACCCTTCGGCTGTGAAAGACGGCTATTACCAGACGCCGATGAATCCGGGGTACAGCGTGGAGTTGAAACCGGAGAGCATGGACCAGTACACGTATCCGGGCGAAGAGGGCGTCAGCTGGTGGAGGAGTGAAGAAGCCAAGTTCATCCTCGACGGAGAGAAAATCTAGTGATACTGCAGAAAATAGAACAAACGCCTTTTCATCTTCATCTTGCTCTGTAATACTCCCGATTGATGCACGTTTCCTCTAGCGGGGTAGTTTAAATGAGTGCGACGGACAATATGAGTGCTTGCCACTGCTTGGATAGCTCAGTAGGTACTTGTTGTAGGATGGATTGTAAACATGCCTGTCCTACTTGAACACAGCCACCTGTGCTTTGCCGCACCCACCCCAGTATTGAAACCCGGCCACTGAGGAGTCGGGGAGGAGATAGATAGAATTGGTGCTTTAGGAAAAGCAACATCAACAGATACGACAGATACACAAAAGTATTGCGCAAAGACTCACGACCATCGACCGAACCATTCATCAGCATACACGAATCTAGGGGCCTGCCTTCTCATTCCGAGGTCCACTTGTTTTGAAGATGACAGACGAGAAGATCCTTGACAGCGACAAGGCTGCGCATAACGCTGTCCTGAACACACACCGCAACGAGCAGAAAACGGTCTGCGAGCGAACGACATCCGGGCCGCAAGACCTGCTAAGACTTAGCGAGAGCGAAACGATTTTCCTTCAAGACGAATGTGTCGCTAAACAGCTCTTGAAAGATACAAATAGTGAAGAGGTTGTCTCTATTGACGGAAAAGATTTGGCACAGAATGAGAAGAGCGGGGAACCTCTGATCGAGTTTGAGGACCTTGATGCATTTCAAAGGGCCATCTGGCACGGTAACTGTGATTTGGCCAAAGAAATCATAAGCAAACACCCCACGATTGGCAAGCACACGTTGATGTCCTCGCGGCACTCGCCCTTGATGCTTGCTATGAATTCAGGAGAGTTTGAGATGGTGCGTCTCGTCCTAGAAGCCGGCGCTGATCCCAATTGCTATTATTGGGTGGGAGGGTCAAACAGGGTCTGCAGCAGCCCTTTCATGAAGTATCCGCGCCTATTGAGGATTTATAGAACGCCTCTGCAGCTGGCGGCAGAAAGAGGCGACTTTCCAGTGGTGAAGCTGCTGATGGAGACGTACCACGTCGACGATTCCGCGGTCTCGCGTGACGGGCAGCTCGCATTCCGTCTTGCTGCGAAGAATGGCCACTCTGAAATCGCAACATACCTGCCCCGGCATCCCGGGGGTAGATTTCGCCGGCTGAAGTTCAGATTCAGGGATGAGACGGAGTTGATCTTAGCAATCGCGGAGATAGTTGGAATTTTCACATTCAAGATTCCAAGGCTCATTGTCAGGGCTCTAGCACAAAAGGTTAGCAAGAGTGTTGTTGCTCGACGTTCTAAGAGGTCGAAGACCGACTCGTGAGCTCAAACCGAGTATGTTTGGATTGACGGGTGTTTACAAATTTGTTCCTTTTTTCCCGGGTTGTAAAAAAAGATGTAGGGCATTTCAAGGTTAAGATAATGTGCTCAAGTCGCAATCTGATCTTTAATAGGGCTATAGGCGAACATTTGACGCGATTTCTGTAACGCCGAGTAGACACTACTTCAATGAATTTATCACAGCTTTCAGGTTTGGGTGTGAGACTTTAGTGCAATCCATTGAGAACGGCTAGAGATGGGCTCAATCCGTTTCTCATTTTGTCGCGATCGCAAATGGATAGTCTTTTTCCATACGTCACGGTGAAGAATAATCGCGACAGGATATTTTATGCAATAATTTTATCATGATTGAATCAGATTACGTGCCTTGCGTAGGATATCATTCACTCGCACATATACGCAAAGAACCGAGATTGCCTGCCTCGACTGATACTTCATGCTATGAAGCAGGTTGATCTCGGAAGTCGTACATGTGATGCCGCCGTATATGTGATCAAGTGAGGACTTCCAAAATGCATCTCACCCCCTTTGTCTTTGTTATCGTCTGAGAGCATTATCCTATTTGAAATATGCCCGGAAAGTCTCGGTACACCTCTGCTGCGAGTATACTATCATACCTACCTGCCCGAAATGTCACAATTGGTCAAGCCATGTCATAGATGTTCTTGTCCTTCACTAGCTGGAAATATAATAATTTTTACGTCAAGGTAGTGTAACAATCTTGTCATTCTGGTGTGTGTATGGTGGAGATACAACCGACGAATTGCTGTAGCATCTTTTGACTATCCGCGCCCAAGCACTATCCTCCCACGTAGAGATCGACTTCGAGAGGCAATAGTGAGGTATGCGACAACCCTCATGATGTAATGGCAATGTCTGAGGTCTAGGTGATACTCGTCATGAAGCAATCGCTCACTTGTTGTCAGTGCACCAGTGAAG